TATATATATTTTTAGTTGTCCAGCTAATTTCTTTCTATATTTTTAGTAGACACGGGGTCTCGCTCTTGCTCAGGCTGGTCTCAAACTCCTGAGCTCAAGCGATCCTCCCACCTCAGCCTCCCAGAGTGCTAGGATTACAGGCGTGAACCACCACGCCCAGCCAATGTATTTTTTTAATCATCCTTAATCCCCAACATTGTTGGGGATCTGCAGTTAATTATAGACTGTGTTCATTGATAATCCTTTTGCCAAAGTTTCTACAATCATTTCTTGGGTAAAGCTCATCCTTTAATAAATTCCTCAGGAAGGGTTCATGAGATTAAGATTCCCCAAGTTCTTACATAAACAGATGCTGTATGTAAAAGCATTGGCTCCCACATCCATGGCTCACGCTTCCTTGCCAGGGCTCTTTGGTTGGTGTATCTTGGCTCTTTTCTGGCATGGAACATTCTGCTGAAAAGGCTGGTGCCAATCTGATAACTCTTTTTCTTACAAGTGAGTCAGCCTTTTCATGCCAGTGGAGTCTATTTTTACAGCCCAACAAGTGTATTGGTTACGTATCCATGTTAAACTTCCCAGATACGCTGTAGGCCTCTATGATATGTAGATTCAGGGGTTCTTTTATTTCAGACACATTTTAGTAAGTTATCATTTTAAATGTTTGTTCTGTTCTACTACTTTATTTTACTCTTTGAGGGACTCCAATTTTATAGACATTGAAAATGCATTGCCTATCTTCTGTATGTATCTCTTTCTAATCTCTTAAAAATCTTTCTTTGCTTTTATTTACTTTTTTGGTTTTTCTTTTTAGATTATTCTGTTTTCCATTTGTCTATTGTCTCATGTGCATCTCGTAATCTAGTCTTCTGAAATTATTTTGTGATTTGCTTCCTCTCTTGAGTTAGTTTACATTTCATATCCTCTTTAAATTGTGCCATGTCTTATCCTTGTTTTCTTATTTCTGATTTGTGATAGCCTTCTGTAGTTGCAATTGCTTTATAACATTTTTAAAATTTCATGTTGAAATGTTGTGTGGCAACATTCCTCTGCTGCATGGCCATATATTTCTGGTGAGCTTTATTCTTTTTGCTAATATATTGCATAATATATTAATGGTAGAAATTAATCTTCAGAGGAATGAATATCATAATCATTTTCTACCTGGAAAAGTTGCCTTTTGAGATAACTCAACTGAGTTATGAATTGTTCCATAAAAAGGTAAATTTCACTTTTTGACCAGAGCACAATATTTATAAATATCGATGTAAAAACAACTAAGTACTTAAAAGCTTACGATATTCCATTTTTCTGATATAAATATTTCCTCTTTCTAAAAATATTGAGGCTGGGAAAGAGGCACACCAAATTTTGCTGGAATGGCTGAAGTTGTAGTGATATGCTGGAGCTGGCTCATACCTGTTCCCAAAGGCAAAATGTTAATTTTTCAGGGATGTCGTGAGCCTGCTGATGTCACATAGTCAGCTTGAAATTGACGATGGTGAGAATATTTACCAAGAAATCAGCATTTAGATTAATGGTCCACTTCATATTACTCTTTGTTAAAGAATCACAGATTCTTAAACTCTTCATAAAAAGAAATGTAGTACAGTCACGTTTCATTGCATTTCCAAGTGTGGACAAAGAAGGAAATATCAACAATCCTCTTTGGGCTTAGTGAAGAAAACATACTTGTGAGTTTTTAACAATCAAATTTCCATGCATATGAATAGCAAGGTAAGAAGAGTATTAATTAATATAACCAATCAGAATCAGACTTTTCAGAAGGTCCTTTCAAAAAATATAGCAACAACTCTGAAGCTAGTTCTCTTTAAAGGCTCTGCTGTTAGAATAATACTTGTCTGATCAGAACAGTCGTTCCTTTTCTGAGACTGCAGGGACAAAGGCGATATTTTATCTTTATTACTTCTTAGACTGAGGTCTTCCTATTAGTTGGAAAGCCTCAGAATGTACAGATGTTTATTTGCCCTGGAGGCCAGGCAGAGCAGAAGATTGTAAAAAATGGTTGGCTCAGCTGTGCTGGGATTGATCCCAAACACAATGTTTCTCTCCAGGCCTGAAAATCGACGGACACTGTCCAACATGGCATCGGTAAAAGTGGATTCATCATCCATCTGAGAAAATTTTCTCTTCCTCATTTCTTTCAAAAACTTATCTTTATATCTGTCCATTTCACTTGCTGTGCTGAAAAGCACGACAATATCTTTGGGAGAGTAACCATTCCTCAAGAGAAAGTGGCACTGATCTGCTACATAGATGGTCATCTCCTCCAAGTCCAGGTCTTTAACCGTTACATTGCCTGCAACACCTGCAACCCATTTAGCTTCATGGCACATGGCCAGATACTCAGAGGGGAGGTTATGTGGAGGATTTTCTCTGATGACCTGCATTATTTCTTGTAGGTACCTGGCTATTTCATCTGCATTGCGGACCACTCTGGTGAGCTGTTCTCTTGGATACTGGTGTGAGAAAGGGGGGAGGCCACTGCGACACACGTGGCTGGTCTGGAAGTAGTCCAGAAAGATCCAGAGGATTCTTGGGCAATCCTCAGCTTTCTGAGTGATGGTTTTTGCCTTCCCGTACCAGTCTCCATCTTCAATGCGGAAATTCTGAGCTTCATCAATGATGATGTGTTGAATATGTTCAAAGTTATCTCTCATGAAGGTTTTCCGGGTCACTGCTTGGCAGATCTTCTTATTACTGTAAAAATTAAAATGACACACTCAGGTTTCTCTAACTAAAAAAAAAAGGAGAAAATTACTCTATCGTGCCCACCTGAACAGTCTGTTGCCACAGATCAACTTACCACCTAATTTTCAAGGAACAAGGTGACTTAGAAGAGAAAATAAAACCCAGACTAAATAACACTTAGAGACATAAAGTCCAACTGCTTACCTGACAAAGTTTCTCAATGGCTGGTTCTCACAAATGTAGAGAATTCTATCTGCCCCACAGCGAAACACATTGCTGATCTTCTCCATGATCTTCATGGCCATGATTGTCTTCCCTGAGCCAGGCAAGCCATGGACAAACAACTCTCTGTTCTTGCACAGGTTTTTAGAGAATAGCTCATACTGTTGAGCTGTGAGCAGATTTAGAACCTCACAGCCAAGTTGGTCACTCAGGAAAGACCTGAAGCCGAGCAGGACAATCACGAGGGCCTGCAGCAAGCCTTGCACCTGCTGGGTGTCTGCCAGGCTATAGGACCTGGGGTAATGTATCGGAGAGACTGCACCCTCCAAGCACTCTGCGCTGCTCTCAGGACTCAGGCAGAGGACCTTGGCCATGACACACACCTTCCCGGTGTAGCCCCCCATGTTCACCAGCTTCTGCTTCAAAGTAAAGGCTGTGCGGGTGCAGTATTCCTGCCCCCCTGCCTCCTGCTCCCTGAGAATGGTGTAGAGAATGGGGGCGCTGTTCTGTGCTATGAGCAGAGCATCACAGATGACTCCTTCCTTCTCTTGCAAGCTCAGGTCCACAGCCCAGCTTCTGGAGAAGATCAAAATTCCCTGGGAGAAAGGATGCATTTGACTATTTATTAACTCCTCCAGCCCTTCATGCTCTGAGGATAGCTCCTTCCAGAGGGATTCGGGAGTGTATCTCAAATGATCTGATGCCACTAGATGTGTAAAAAATAGAAAAGAGTTCAAAAATGTGTGCATTATTTTGTATGAATCACATCTTACATTTAAAAGGGACAGACAGTAAAGCCCCCCAGATAATTGTGCAATTTAGGAGAAATTCCCTCTGGTGCACCATTTTTTTGTTTTTTATTTTATTTTTATTTATTTATTTTTTTTGAGACGGAGTCTTACTCTGTTGCCCTGGCTAGAGTGAGTGCCGTGGCATTAGCCTAGCTCACAGCAACCTCAAACTCCTGGGCTCAGGTGATCCTCCTGCCTCAGCCTCCCGAGTAGCTGGGACTACAGGCATGCGCCATCATGCCCAGCTAATTTTTTCTATATATTTTTAGTTGTCCAGATAATTTCTTTTTTTTGTTAGTAGAGACGGAGTCTCGCTCTTGCTCAGGCTGGTCTCGAACTCCTGAGCTCAAACAATCCGCCTGCCTCGGCTTCCCAGAGTGCTAGGATTACAGGCGTGAGCCACTGCACCCAGCTTGGTGCACCTCTCTTTAACACACACCCTACAAATGTGGTAAACTGAATGACGTTGCCCTTCTAATGTATCTCATGGAGAGTAGAGTGTGTCAACTAAAATGGAATTTATTGAGCCTGAGAAAGTGAAAACCATGTATGTACTGGATTATGCTTGTACCTCATATTCTTATTGTGAAATGTCAAACAACCATTCTCGTAAGCTAATAACTACAAAGATCTCAGGTAAGTAAGAAAACTATTTGGTTGAAAATGGGCCTAAGGCAGACATAATATATTAATTATCAGGCGCTTAATAAATGTCTAGAGATTATAGGATATTTGCATATTATGTTCTACTGTTAGATCACACATTTAATATTTTCAGTGTGTGAAGTTATTCAAGTCATTTTCCTCATCTAGAAATCTAGGTTTCCTTTTCTAAGTACGAACTCCTGGACAGAATCTTGCTAAAAAAATATCTGAGCAGCAGGGAAACAGGTTACCTAACACTGTCCGTGGTCTTGAATGATTATTTTACGCTTCCTCTGGGCCACTGGTGACTCGTCCCCTCTAGCCCCTTCAAGAGAAATTACTTGTGGTTTCTCTGTGTTTTTATATTCTACCAGGTGAACATTTTTATTCTTTTTACGGATATGATTCTTCCATCTCTGAAAAGCTGAACAGTAGTGGTCAAGTATTCCACAGTGCCCCCTTGTTTGCCTACACTTGTACTAGACGAGTGGTTTCCAAACCCAGCAGAACATCAGAAGAACTGGAGAAGCTTGCTCAAATGCACATGTCCAGGCCTCATCCCTGGAAATTACATGTTTGTAAGTTCTTCGTGGGGACCTGGACAACTGCATGTTTAACTACCTCCTACAGTATTTCTGATAAACAGTTAGATTTGGCAACCACTAAGCTATTTCTAAGGGTACCTGAAACTCATCCCCAGGAGGCTTGTGGCACTGTCACTTGATACACTTGGATTTGAAGAACACAGTCTTTCACGGATTTGTTTTTAACCAACTGTATTAAATCATCTCCCTTTCTCCTAATGTAAAAACTGGCAGTTAGTACCTGGAAACAAATGTCGTTGAAGATCTGCTTTATGTTCCAGACCTTTCTTAGAATACACCGGTCTGCAAAATGAAGGTCTGTGGGATAGGCTCAGCTGAGATTCAAAAGCCTCGGCCAACTCTGAAAGTAACTCTGAAAGAAAGAACAGTTTACCCTGTAGGATTTCATCCCCCACCACCGGAATAGGCCATTGAAAGCTGTGCCTAAATTTCACTTCACATGGTACAATCAGGCCCCAAAGTCAGACACTTCACCCTTCCTTGACCCAATGTCAAGCTTCCCAAAGATCCACCATTAAAAAGCCCATCTTTTAAATCTTGAATGGTGTTTTCCTATTCAAAATAATGCTCTCTCTTCCATATTTGAATAGCTCTTTCCTGGAACTGTAGTGACACTTAAAACACTCTGTTTTTAAATTCTAATCATCATGTATTTTATATTCCTGCTCATGCACCTCCACTAACCACAACCAAACAAAACTCACCCAACTCTGGCTCTTGTCTTCCAGAGTTGATCTCATGCTAAACTGAGGTACAGGGTAATTGTTACTATGAGGGTCTAGCAAATTTCAATTAGAGGATTTTAATAAAGGAATCCACTTCCAAATTTCCCTTTCCTAATTCTTTTGTGGGAAATCACCATTCACAAAATATCCGATTTTGGCTTTTTCTCACCCAATAAAACCTTCCCATATATGAAAAACATGGACATTTAAAGAAAGTAAATTTGAGTGGGTGTGAGGAGCTCAGAGTTGCAGAGAATGTAGGACATGAAGATGCTGAGGAGGAAGGAGGAAAGGGAGGGAGGCGCTTGCTCCCCCTTACCTGGATTGGGATCTATCATCATGCCTACCCACTCCTTGGCTGTCAGGCTGCAGATGTGCATGTCCTTCACCATCCATGATTTGGGATCTTCTGAGAACACTGGACAGCAGAATGGCTCCACTTTAACCACACAGAGATAACCATACAACTCTTCATCCTTAAACACATCTATGATTTTTATGGTGCACTCCAGCCTTGGTTTGGAAGAGCAAAAGTGGACAACGGGCATCTTGGAAATTGCTGTTGCTATTACACTTTCCAAAGAGTTTCGGTCAACATTTTCTTTTGGACATCCCAGGACTTCTCTACTCTTATCATGCACTCCAATAAAAAGATAGCCTCCCTTGCTGTTTGAAAATGCTGAGACGTACTCTGGAATTATCTTTTTCACATATTTTTGGGTGTTTTTTGTACCAAACTGTTTAAACTCTATGGATTGAGATTCAGTAAATGGCAGGATTTCACCATATTTAAGCCTGTTCATTTGGAAAACTTTGTATGCAGGATTTGATTCAGAGGTGCTCTGATGGTCAGCTTTGGGAATTTTACTAGGGGGAGATCCTTCATTAATCAAACTACATTTTGCATCTTTTTTCTTGGTCTTGAGGAGATGGAATGCCTGTCTTGAATCCATGGGAAGTGCAGAGGTGCCAGATCTATAGTGTAGTGAAGAACTCAGGCTGCAAATGCGGGGCCTCACAGAACTGTCTTCACTGCTCCAGGACTTAACAAAAATGTAAAAATGCTCGTCTTGCTGCTTGATCTCAAAGAAAGTCTCAAAGTCTGAAAACTCAATAAGGTTTCTCAAAGACTGTTCTAAATCTTGTCCCAGCTCCACAGGACACTCATCATTGTTTTCCATTTTCATCCAAATCACTCCTCCTCCTGAGTTTAATAAAGCACACACAGCCTCTGTAAACCTTGCCTTCTCTTGTTTCTGAGTTGTATTCAGCTTTCTTCTGTTTCCTTCTCCAAGAGTCACTTTTCCTACATTGATGACCAAGTCTGGGCAAAATCGTTCCACCAACGGGTAGCAGTTATTTGTCTCCATGTTGACCCTACGGATGAAACTATTAGAACATTTGTTTCACTTTGAGTAAGAAATTAATTGTTCCATGCATGCAGTTCATTTATTAGAAAATCTTTAATGTGTGTCAAATATGTACTGGGAGAAGCCAATGGACTAGTCAGCAAGACAGGAAATAGTCCCTTCCCTTTAGGAGCTGTCTGGCAGGAAAGGGGGCTATGAAATCAGCATTTATCATCATGTGTTATATGGACTATAAGAGGAGAAACACATTAAAGGAGTATCTGAATTAATCTGGAGACAACAGTTCAATAAGACTTCTAGGAGGGAGTAACATTTAAGCCAGGGACCTATAGGATGCTTTGGAGTTGGCCTGGTGAAGTCATCAGCACTGAAGCACATGAGTGGTCGGATCACCTGAGGGGGATGTGTGCACCATGGCATGAAAATACGTCTGTTTAGGACAAATTTCCAATGAATGTCAACATAGGGAATGAGTAAAAGGAGAAAACATCAAACAGGAGACTGCGGAGAGGACTGAGTGTGAAAAACCAAAGAGGAAGGATAAAACCAAGGGAATATGGTATTAAGGAAGCCCAAACAAGGTCACCTGCTGAACTTTTATGGTATCTAGTACTGCTGACAGGTGCAGCTTGGTGATGACTGGAAAGTGTTATTAGGTTTAGCAAAATTGAGATAATTGGTGAGTTTGAAAAATGCTGTTCCGACACCCGGGGAGTAGGGGATAGGAGGCAACATACCAGGGGCTAAGGTCTTGGACACTAGAGTCAACAAAGACGGCCTGAATTCCAGTTGTCATTTAATAGTGTTATGCTATTAGCCTAAATGTTTCCTCTTTTTAACTCTGTTTTCTTATCTATAAGATATGGTGCATGTACCTTTTTTAAAATTTCAGAATATTACCGGGGTACAAATGTTTAGGTTACGTATGCTGTATTTGCACCGCCCAAGTTAGAGCTACAAGTGTACCCATCCCCCAGACAGTGTGAACCGCACCCATTAGGTGTGAATTCACTCATCTCCTCCTCCCCTCTCCCACCTGCCCAACACCCGATGAATGTTACTTCCATATGTGGTGCATCTACCTTAATATGACTGTTATTATGAGGATTAATTAAGATAATTCACATCAACCATTTAACGCTATGCTTTGTTCAGTAAAGTAACCTGTATTATTGTCATCCTTTTGCAATGTGTTGGAGAATGAATGGGAGGTAAGGAAATAACATTATTGAGTCTGTACAACTTGTTGATATATCAAGCTATGAAAGAGGAGAAGTACAGTGATATGTAGCTGCAGGAAGAGAGGAAGTTGAAGAATTTTTTTGAGCTGGGAAAGGCTTGAAAATATTTCACATGCATGGGAAGGATCCAGTAGGGAAGTGAAAATTTTAAGATTTAGAAGGAAGATGGGATGATTGAAAAATACTGAAGGCCCTGAAAAGAGAGGTAGGGAAGGAATGTGATCCAGAATGTGGAAGAAAATCAGGAGGAGGGGAAAAGAAATTAATTGGCATGGGTCAAGGTAGGTTTGTCAAGGTAGGTGGGAGGAAGTTGACTAAGCACACTCTGATGCCTGCTCTTTTCCCTTTGAAGTAGGAAACAAAGCCATCTCGAGACAGAGGCAGTTGGTGCAAAGGCGGAAGGACAAAAACATTTTAATAGAGTGGAACAGACTCGCCCATATCTCTCAGCCCAAGAGTCTGAGCCTTCATGACAGGTGCATCAACCTACATCTCATAGCAGATGGTGAGGGGGCCCAGTTTCAGCTTCTAGTCCCTCCTGTTGCAGCTGAAGAACTACTCCACATGTTCAGGGACCTGCAGGGTGATACACACCTGCCTGAGCAAGTGAGATGGGCCCACCAGCCTCCTTCCCAGAGCACATCCTGAAGGGGCCGAATCTCAACTCCAGCCCCTCTTGCTGCAGTTGATAGCCTGCCTTTGCATAGATCTGCTGGGAGGCATGCCCATTTGGGCCACTGGGACAATCTTCTAGATGCAGATCCCTGGCCAGCATTCTTACACAGACCCAGAACCCTCCTTGGGTCTTCACTGGGTCCAGAGGTGGCCAGAAAGCCACATCAAGCTCAGAGTCTTCTTGAGGCTCATGGCAAGCCTGGGCTTACCATGTCCTCTAGGGCTGAGATGGCTACAGTGGCCATAGGCTCAAGGGACATGAGAGTTGGCTTAGAATCCCTGAAAGGCACTCTGAAGAAGGACTGTTACAAACCAAACCAGACTGCGAAGACTAAAATAAATACCTAATCCATCAAGGCACAGATTGGCAGCAATAAATTCCCTCAGCACTTGCACAAACATCAAGAACATTCAGGGAAATATGACCTCACCAAACAGACAAAATAAGGCACCAGAAACCAACCCTAAAGTTATAAAGATGTGTGATCTCTCAGACATAGAATTCAAAATAGCTGTTTTAAGGAAGAGCAACAAACTTCAATAAAACATAGAATACCAACTCAGAAATTTATCAGAGAAGTTTAACAGAGATTGAAATAATTTTTTAAATTCAAAGAATTCTGGAGCTGAAAAATATGATGAATGAAATGAAAAATGCAACAGAGAGCACTGACAGCAGAATTGATCAAACAGAAGAAAGAACCAGTGAGCTCAAAGACAGACTATTTAAAAACACACAGAGAAGAAAACAGTAAAAAAAATGAAAAGGAATGAACAAAGCATATGGGAACTATGGTACAACATAAAAAGAACAAATATTCAGGTAATCAGACAGAGTTAAAGAGGGAACTGAGAAAGACAAAGGGGTAGAAAGTTTATTCAAAGAAATAATAACAGAAAATTTCCCAAAGCTGGAGAAGGATATAAATATCCAGGTACAGGGAGAGCAAAAGCCACCAATCAGATTCAATCCAAATAAGAACACCCCAAGACATATTTTAATCAAACTCACAAAGGTGAAAGACAAAGAGAGGATCCTGAAAGCAGTGAGAGAAAGAAGCAAATAACATATTAGGGAGCTCCAAGATGCCTGGCAGTAGACTTCTTAGCAGAAGCTGAAGGGAAAAAATGCCAACCAAGAATACTATACCCATCAAAGTTATCTTTCAAGAAAAGGAAGGAGATATAAAGACTTTCCTGACAATTAAAGTGAGGGAATTTATTGCTACCAGATCTGTCCCACAAGAGATGCTTAAAGGAGGTCTTTAAACCAAAAGAAAAGGACACTAATGCATTTATTATACTAATATGGTAATTGTGATATGTAAATCACTTACATCTTTTGTAAGAAGACTAAAAGACAAAACTATTAGAGATGATAATAACTACAACAGTTAAGAGATAGGTAATATAAAAAATGTAAACTGTGACATCAAAAATTCAAAATGTTGGGGGAGAAGGGAGTTAATGTGTATAGAGGTTTTAAAAATTTGTTTCCTTTTCATTTTTGTGATTAAA